AGCTAGCTGAGCTTACAGCTGCGGCCATTTTTCCACAACGAAAATTCTAGCATTACATCTTACGTGTGTCAGCTTGAAAGCCAGACTTCCTCTGTTTGCCCTTCAGCATTCCAGCACTGACAACTCTTTGGGGCATGACATGCAAGGAAAGTGTATTACAGTACATTTTTAAGAGGTCAGCTTAAGCAGTAATAAGAAAAGAACACTTAAATGACAGTTTGGTGCTGCTCTTTGTGTGCTTTAGCCGTTGATTTGATCTATGTAAGCTGATTTTGTTTGAGTGAAACTGTTCTCCATCTGCATTAAAGTTGTTCAAACAGCTGCCATTTTTTTTATTGGAGGGGGGAGTTTGTCACTGGGCCCCTACTCCAGGAGGAGTTGGCAAGCAGTACTCTTGTAGCAGTAAAATGACACCATGCTTCTCCTCCATTTTCTAATGAAATCTGCAGAGTGGGAAAGCAACACAAGTTGGAAGCGTCTTTCTTTGGAATCTATCTGTAAACTGTTGTTTCTGTCACGGTCGTGCAGACTGTAACTTCAGCTTCCACTGCTTTGTGGGTTTTCAGCAGGTTTGTTGTTTATGAAAATGTCTCTCCTTATATTCCTTTGTAATCTTGCTGCTGCTTGTCAAGAAAATTAGGAGTAATACACTGCAAGTCCATTAACAAAGTTGCCTTTAGACTTTAGGGTGATGCAGAACAAAATACTGATGTGCTAAACAATATTTTATCACTGTTTTTAACAGTGTTGTTAAACTAGAGCAGTAGATTATAACACTTTTCTGGGATTTAAGGGGTATTGGAATTTATAATATTGGAACAATAAAAGGTTAGTTAAAGTGAGATATTAGCAACAGAGCTGGTTTAATCTTCTGAAAAGTTGCTGATTATAAAATACAATTGGATAGAATTAACAAATTGTGTGATTTCCCCGCTCCCCCTGACACTTAGTTAAGAAAAATGGTTGTATTGGGCCTGAAGATGTCAATAATACATTTAATTAAGTTAAAAATAACTGAAACTTTAAGTTGCATCTTAAAGCATATTTGACTGTAGACAGTAGAGAACCTGGCTCAAACTAAAAATGTTTTACCTGAACATTGGTTGCATTTTATTGAATTTGTCAATCTTTACACAAAGAATGAATAATTCGGTTACTGCTTTTATCTACCAAGTAAATATATTTCTTGTGTAATCTGTATGTAATGTTTTATTTGTTTAGAAAAAGTAGTGTTCATACTGTAGCTATTTGGGGTTTATTTTACTAAAAGGGATCTCATTTACTAATATGCTCTATCATTTTATAGTTAACGAATGAGTAACCAGGAATTAGTTCAATTAGTTTAGTTAAGATGCACTTACTGTGCTTTAAAGGGGCTTAAATAAGGAAAGTTAGGAATGAATGTTGTTTTGTTGCCGTTCTGCTCTGGAGTGATTTTTCTAACTCCAGTTCTCTTCCATTGGAATGTCATATGTAAATAATTTGTATTTAATCTGCAAGGAATAATTCTACTATGGAAGGAATACTAGGTGGAGTGAAAATTATCATTTTATTGAGCACCAACAAGACATTACGTGCTGTAATAAAATAATCCCTGCACCAAGGAGTTTACAGTCTAAATAGAAAGACAGTATAATTCATACAAACAATACCAGGTGACCAAAAAATGGATTTATAACTAAGCAGTGAAGTTCTTTATAAGTACTTTGTTGGTGGAGTAATGCTGGTAGACTGTATGCAGGTAGTGTGTTTATTTTCATTTACTGCTGTCAACAGACTTTCTTAGATCAAGCTTTAAGTATGTTTTTTAACTTTAAAGGTTAGACATTATGATGACCAGTTGCATCAAAAGGTATATTGGTAAAATGTAGATTACTAGAAAGTTAAATAACAGATTTGTGGGTGGTGAAGTGGAGTTTGGTATATGAAAGACCAACTCTCTTTAAATGTCTGAGTTGCATTAGTAAATGGACTAAAGGAGTATGGGTTTTTTTTAAATAACTTCTGCATAATTGTAAGTAATTTATATTAATAATAACAAAGATTTACCATTAAGAAAAATTACTGATTTAGAAGTGCAGAGAGGAATATAAAATGTTTTCCTCTCCTGCGTCATTTTACATTGCATTGCTTTGTTCTTTAAATCTTAACATTAATGAAAAGAGGAATATGCTAGAAAGGAATAGATGGAAATATGTTCAGAATTTTTGAAGGCATTGAATTGTACTTTTGAACATTAAATGCATTTGATCATAGGTCGTTCAAACACTGTTGAATGTGTGCATGTGAAACATTGTTAGAGGACCTGAATTCAGTAGCTTTCTAAAATAGGTAACAGAACTCTTACATCAGCAGAATCTAATACTGTGTTAGTCATTTTATCCAACTTATCGGTTTATCTAATTACTTGTGACTATCTTCCCTATCCATGCTCCTATGCATTAAATTGACTTATGTCATGGCCATTCTTCTACCTAATTCTGTCCCCCTCCATTCAGCTGTGAAATAGAGTAGAACTGGGTCACTGCTGTGGCAGAGTAGTGGAAGACGGTGGTGGTGGTGGTGTACATGTTTGTAATCACCTGAAATAGCGTATCCCTTTCTCTGCCCTTGAAACTTATACCAAGGATTTATAACTGTCAGTCCCTCCATTGGAGAAGAAATAGCATACATGCTCCAAATATCCCTTGTATACAAAATCTTTCTTTGGGCTTTGTCATTTTTTTCATAGACTGAAAAACTGATAGCTGCAGTTCTGGGTGCTAAGAACGCTGGGTGCTTTGTTTACACTTAAGTAACAGATTTGATCCTACAGGACACAATTTTTTTTTTAAAGGAACATATAATTGTGTGTGCCTTTTTTGAGGTATGTGTATTTTTTTACCTAATCATGTTAAAAGTAACAGCCGTATTCCCTATATTGAAATTTTTTTTTAAACAAAGCTTCAGGGAACTGGATTTTGCTTAGATTTTCTAAGGCCAGACTATTGTATTCACCTGCATTTGTACCTGAAAGTGAATGTTAGTGTATGATTTTCATGTTTTGTACTTTTCTTTCATTTGACCATTTTGTTCTTGCTTCTAGCACACTAGGGAATTGTTTAATGAAATACAAAAAGTAATGCTGCTGCAAAGTCAAAAGCCTAGGGTACGTTAACAGCATACTAATGTGCAGAGTTACTCTTAAAGGAAGATAAACAAAACTTTATAGTAACTCAAGCTTAATTTTAATAGGACCCCAAACACCCAACAATCACACACGTAGCAGTAGGAATGCCTTACAGTTTTAATTGTACCTTTAGGACCTGGCTATAGACACAGTAGTTGTGCAAGCATTTATTTTTATAATATTGTTTAAGGTTAAGCTTTTCAAAGTTAACTATGCAGCTCCCATTAATTTCAAGGACAGTTGTAGTTAAGTTCTCTAGTCATCTCTGAAAATCACAACCTAGATATTCTTCTGTACTTATTTTATCAAAGAAAAAGTAAACTGAACACATACACAATTGTGTGTGATCATTGATCTATATAATGGGCTTGAAAAAAAACTGTGTGTTACAGTGACATCAATAGAGTTGGTTTAAACTTTTTTGAAATTGTGGGTGATCTCTAAACGTAGTTACTGTAAAGCATTCCACATCTTTAGAGTATTTGTGTGCTTTAGTAGACCAGGCCCAATCACATACTCCATCCTGTGCCTTTCTGGGTTTCATTTAATTTGTTTGCGTTTGTACTGGTGTGATGGAGCAAATAAACAGGTAGCAATGAATACTGTAATCACCTGTTTATTCACAGTTCAGGTGTGGTGTATACACCCATATGTAACCTTTCTTGCAAATTCTTTGGCCTCAATCCCATCTAAAAGTGGCCATGCTGTCAAGGTTATGAAAGGTAATTTTGATTTCATTTAAGCTGAATGCTTGGCATTTCATCCATGGAGGCAACCAGTCATGTCAAATGGTGTATGGTATTTATGCTATCACTTTCTACTGACAATGGACTGGGTGAAGACTAGTACATAGATTTCCCTTTGGATGTCAGGATTGACAAGACAGGCGACTGTTAACCACTCATTCTCTTTGTTCCTAAGCTTGCCTTGTGTTCTCTTCTGTGTTGACTTCATAAAAGACTTATACACAAACGATTTTTTAATTTCCCACGGTAGGAAATAATGCAACCCAGATTTTTTAAAGTTTTTAATTTTTTGAGAAATGTAGTTTTGCTTTAGGTGCTAAAACAAACTTGGACTGATGAAGTGATGATCCATCAAAAAATTTTGGATCTTTGTAAGGAGTAGTAATAAAAGACTTGAGCTGGGATAATTTGTTATGAATTTATAGCTAAACCTTCTATTACTAGTAATACCATGTTAGAAAATAGTGTGTGCATATAGCTAGGCTTATAGTGGAAACTGGGTTTCAGCTTTAACTGGAGCAAATACTGCCATTCCGTAATATATACCCTACTCCAGGGGTGGCCAACCTGTGGCTCCGGAGCCACATGAGGCTCTTCAGAAGTTAATATGCGGCTCCTTGTATAGGCACCGACTCCAGGGCTGGAGCTACAGGCGCCAACTTTCCAATGTGCCGGGGGGTGCTAACTGCTCAACCCCTGGCTCTGCCACAGGCCCTGCCCCCACTCCACCCCTTCCCGCCCCCTCCCCTGAGCCTGCAGTGCCCTCGCTTCTCCCTCGCCCCCCCTCCCCCCCCCGAGCCTCCTGCATGCCACGAAACAGTGGATCGGGAGGGAGGGGGATACGCCAGTGGGTGGGAGACGCTGGGAGTGGAGGGAAAGCTGATTGGGGGCTGCTGACGTATTACTGTGGCTCTTTGGCAATGTACATTGGTACATTCTGGCTCCTTCTCAGGCTCAGGTTGGCCACCCCTGCCCTACTCAAAATATGTTTTTCTTTTCTTAGGATCTTTTTGACTTTGAAAACTATGGTACCTGTGATTAATTTTCTTCAACTTTTTTCTTTTTTTTTTTTTGGTGTGGGTTAGTGCCAGAACAAACAAAGACCAGTGTAAGCCAGCCTCAGCCCGTCCCCTCTAACGGCACTTCCCCAGCAACCAGCACTAATAATAATGCCAAGCGGGCCACAGCCAGCAATCAGCAGCAGACCTTGCCTCGATACCCTCCTCGTGAAGTACCACCACGATTTCGACACCAGGAACAGAAACAGCTTTTGAAGCGAGGTCAGCAGTTACCAGTGATAGCTGCAAACCTGGGATCCACTCCTAAAGTATTAAACAGCCAATCAGGAGGCAGCGCTGTCACAAGTAAACAGCCAGTGACCAACGGAGAAGTGCCGAACAGCAGCAGCAAAAAACAGTCAGGTGAGAGAGGAAGTAACTTGTTTTCAGTGAGGTTAGATATTTTATTAGTAGCTAGATTAGAATGATTGAATTGGTACAACACAGAATCCATTTTAGGGTAAATGGGCGAAGAGTCCTCCAGTGTCTGTTATTCATGTTAAGCATTAACTTTAAAACATGGTCTCCTGTGCGCTATCTTCCTTTTAACTGAATCTCTGATCATTCTCAGCTCATCTTAGTTATTGACTAATGCAGTTTCTATACGATACAGGTGCATATCTACCTTTGAACAAGGTAGGTTTAAGTTTAGATAAATATTAATATCCTTTTTCTAGATTCCTCTCTTGATCTCAATGATTGATCGAAAAGATTGCTTTAAAGGGAACCCCTTTATGTAAAGACTTTGCCATAGGTCTCTGTGTTAGACCTATGTCCAATATTCAGGAATCTGAACAGCATCCTCAAAATAAGTTTCTTGTTTCAGATCCAGTGACATCACCTTGAATTTCTGGGTTAAAAAAATCAAAGCCATTATTCTGATGTTAAGGTTTCTTTTGCTAAAGAGATTAGATTTGTTCGTGTACCCCAAGTAGAGCCCTGCGCGGATACAAATTTATATCCGTGGATATAAATCAATATCCCTGGAACCGCAGGGCTCTCCCCGGAACCGCAGTGGTGAAAGGAGCAGAACGTGGTGCCGCCACCGCTCCCAGGAGATAGCACTCCACACTGGCAGCTCGTCCGTCGTAGCTGTACTGTCCCCACTCCGCCCAATGGGGCAGGCACCAGGCTCACTGGTACCTGTCCCTGGTTGCACTCTTGTGTTCAAACGGCGTGCACACCCCCAGACAGGAGAGAGAGACAGCTGAATGGAAGGGACAGGAGTGGGGCTGTCGGCAGTACAGCCACGTCGGAGGAGCTGCCGGCGCAGGGCACTGGCTCCTGGGAGCGGCAGCCACATGTTCTGCTCCTTTCGCCCCTGCAGTTCCATGGATACCGATTTATATCCACGGATATCTGCATCTGCAGATATAAACTTGTGTCCGTGCAGGACTCTAACCCCGGGTACTGTCTCTGCTGACAGAGTATCTTGGCCTCTTACAGGATCTGCTTCTCTGGAATCTGAGAGGAGAATGACTGCTATTCATATCAATATTTTCTTTTTTTTTTTTCCATAAACTCTTTACTCTGATCCTTCTTCATCCTTGTTGGCTTGAGCAACCCACCCTTCAAATACTTGTACAACAGTGTAATAAAGAGTTAACCATGGGAACATTTTACCAAGGGTCATGGTGGTTTCTCCATCACTGACCATTTTTAATTCAAAATTGGATCTTTCTAAAAGACCTGCCCTAGGAATTAATTTTGAGGAAGTTCTGTGGTCTGTGTTATACAGGACGTCAGACTAAATGCTCACAATGGTCCCTTCTGACCCTAGAATCTATGAATAAGTTTGCACTTTTAGTGAATGAACTAGGTTATAATTTACTGATCTTTTTGTTAGTAAGATAAAGTTAGTGTATTCTTGACTGGAAAGAAATAACTCCAATTCCAGGAATTTCCAAAGCATTTTGGTAGTCCACCCTTCAGCCATCATCTTCTCCATAAGTGTTTGTGTTTCTTATGCTGGTTTTTGTAGCTGCATTTAGTTGTTTGAAAGACATTTAGCAGTTATGATACAACTGTTTCACCTGAGCCATCTAAACTTGGCTGTAATTTATAGTATTTCTTAAGATCACTGATGTTTGGCACTACAGAGGCTATGATGTAAAGCATTCCAGTTACAAAAAGGTGATTTTCCTTTTTAAAAGAATTCTTGAGGAAAACCTCGATACTTTGCTCCTTTTTATATCCTTGAACTCATCACAGACTCTAGAAGATAACAGTATTTAAAATGAAGGTAAACTGTCAGGTATGTTGCTGTCAAACACTGTACAAATGAATATCCAAACTAAAATAGTATGGATTGGGGGTTTTTTGTTTTTTTTAATCTAGGTAGTGATTTGTTATATTGGAGATTAAACTCTTCAGTTTTGTGTTTGTAACAAAATGAGCACAGTCTAACCATTTAAAAAAAACTAGTTTTTTACAGATGAAATTTTTCTCCATAGGTCTGTTATCTGTTGATCTAGTCTTGTGGCCTGTGATGTCAAAGAAAGATTCACGTGTAGTTTATTAAAAATTTCTCCCGTAAGGCAAACTGTTAGAAACTGGTTACATATGTTGTGAGTATTGCATTCCAACAGTGTCTTACACAGCCTCTTTATTTTTTCTTCTGATGCGGTTGATAGGATTCCAACCTGTGGAAAATATTTATTTACAGCTAAGTGGACTCTTCTTCTCTTTCTGGCTTTGTTTGATGTAATACTGAGCACTTACTAGTATGGCTGAGTAATCTCTGAGCTAGAAGATCTTGGTTTCTTCCCCCAGTAGTGACACAGCAGTGTTGTATTAAGCGTATGAGATGCTGCTATTCTTTGAATGAGATGTTAAATCTAGGTCCCTCCTGGTTCTTTGATTGTCCAGATGGTCAATAAAAGGCCCCGTGGAACTTTTCCAGAGAGGAGAGAATAATCCAGTTGTCCCAGCCATCCTTCATCCGTCTCTCAAAACAGGGTGTGTGAGCTGTTGCACCCAGACAGTCACTGTGCTACCAGATCCCTTGTCACTTTGCATTTTAGTCTCATGGAATTGTCACGTATAAGAGTCAGAATGGGTCTAATAGTTAATTACCCCCATCTGTGCCACATGCCTTTTGTGTGACCTAAGGTTTCATTTCTGCATGTATGAAGAAGGAATAATGTCCAGAGGGTGGAGGTTTAATGTTTGTAAGGTGCTTTGAGATCTGTAGATGAGATGATAAAGTACAAAGAATGGATTACACTAAACAGTGAATCGTAGAGCATGCTTTGGAGACTACCTTAGTTTGACTGCATAAGAGCCACTTAAGATGTCACTTGCTGCTATCATATCTGAAGAAAACTGATGTGAATAATCTGCTAATCTTGTTGTTTGCTAATTCCATCTTCTCCTTCCCCCAGCCATCAAAAAAGATCTTAGGTCTGCTTACTAGTACTAGTATCCCATTCCAGAAATTAAAGATATCAGAACATCAGGAAGGTAAAGTAATCCCTTAAAGTCCTTTGCTTTTAAAAGAACATCTATGTGCAGATAAGCTGTTCAGCAAAGAATTTTGCGCTTCACTAGGAGACAAGAGGTTAGTAAAGTCAAGAAGACTGTCCGAGCCTTGAAACCCATGCTAATGCATATATTGCTTTCATCAAGATTTGCCTAATACTCATGGAACCTTCTTCCACCAAATGTACCCTGCTTACCTCTTTCCAAAACGTACAATAATGTCCCTGTGGTACAGTCAGTAGCCCAGATGGTAAAACCAAACAAGCAGGCAGAGATAATATGCAATCCTGTAACCTATTTGAAAGAGTATACCATATACCCTGATGGCATGGCTCCAGCAACTGTTTACATCCTCAGTACAGTACCAATCCCTGGTGTTCTTGTTAAAGTCCTTCACACATCTACGGAAGTAGATATTTTCAATCAGTGGAGTGAATATCCACATCCTGCTCTAAGAAATTAACCCTGTGATGTTCTGAATACACAAATGACTTCAATACAGAATGAGAATGTGGACTGTGAACAAAGCTCCTCTGATTTAAATAGGCTTGCAAGAGATTTGGGGGGGTGGGGGGGGGGGAAGCTGGCAACTAATTTGCGTATAATTGGGCTAATGTGCACAATATGAAAAAAACCCTGCAAAACCATAAAAATAAGGGAATTAAGATTAGAGTTGAAAACTCTCTCCCTAACTCACCTCATTTTGTACAGGTTTTGTAAAGTGATATTCACAAATTAAAATAAATAGAACTTTGTATTCTGTGTGCTTGTATCCTCTCGGCATTTTAAGGTGAAGTTAGAATGGAGCTGTCAGATTTCTGAGTGTCTGTCAGATGCCCAACATCTAAATGCAGGCTTTTTGTGAGTTATTCCTAGAAGCAAATTTACCCTCTTGTTTGTTAGGTTCTCTTTAAAGGCCAGGGAAAGCAGATTAACAATTTATGCTAATATTGATTTCCTTGGCCAGTGTAGACTGATCATAAGTCTTCTGGACTGGGCATCCTTTAATATTTCTCTTCAATAAAAGATAGTTTATTGCCTATATTCCTTGTGGACCCACACTTCTCCATTTTGAAAATTAGTCTCTTCTGTTTAGGAGTAAAGCTAGTTTGGGAAGTTCCTAATAGCTCTACCAGTAGATGTTCTATTTGTACTCTGAGAACATGTGGTGAATCCTTTTTCCTCAAGGATTAAAGTCTTCCTAATGGAGCTCACCTATGGAACATTCTTAAGGCTAAAACCATGGGAAATACTTTCCGAGATCCGTTTACAAGTAGCTCTTGTTTATGAGAATGTATCCATGCCAGTCATAATAGTTTTCTTTATCAAAACTTTGCCCCATTTGTAAACCATGCGAGGTAAATCTTTAGAATAAATCTCTCCTCTTCTGTTTTTCTACCATGACAGCCCAGTGTTCTATCTTGACAATCTTGAAATATTCATTAGTTTGTAATATACCAAAATGATAAGCAGATAGTTACTGGACCACTAACTGCTTGCTACAGTGAGCTGTATGTGGCTGTTACAAATAATTATTTAAAACTGGGAGGCACATTAGGAGGTACTTCTCTGTAGAGCAATGGATTAGAAGCCATCAGGATTTTGGCTCTAATCCAGGCTGAGTTACTTTGCACCTGTCTGATTTTGGGCAAGTCTCCTTTTATCTTTGTGCCTTGACAATGCAGCTGTAAAATTGTTTTAAAACAGGAGCATGCAGAAACAAAATGTGCTGCAATGTGATTCAAGCTGCCCTGGGTAATTTGTTAAAAAAAAAAAAGGGGGGGGGTTGGAGGTTGCAAGATTCTTAGTAATTGTGGGGCTCAAATTAATTTGGGAAGCCTTCTAAAGCTTAAATGTAATAGATTGTATAGAGTAAAGGGGAAACAAGGGGGATTTAAAACTGTTACACAATTTGATTGCATACATTGTCAATAGCAAATGTTAATCTGTTGCAGGAGGCAGAAGCTAGCAAAAAATTGTATGTAGTGTTTAGAAGTTTTGGCTAGGTCCTATGGTGCAATACAAATTTATAATAAACCAAGAAGCAAAATATGAGCAGATAAAGAAAAGACTTTCATCTGAAGAATAAATCACACTGTCCAAGGATATTGTGAGATTATTAGCTTAATAGTGAGACCAGGGATGGGCGAGGGCAGTGGTTCTCAATCAGGGGTACATGTGCCCCTGCGGGTATGCAGAGGTTTTTCTGGGGGTACATCAACTCATCTAGATATTTGCCTGGTTTTACAACAGGCTACACAAAAAGACTAGCGAAGTCAGTACAAACTAAAATTACACACACACACTGAGAAAGTAAGCATTTTTTCAGAATAGCGTACTGTGACACTTTTGTATGTTTGTGTGATTTTGTAAGCAACTAGTTTTTAAGTGAGTTGAAACTTGGAGTATGCAAGACAAATGAGACTCCTGAAAGGGGTCCAGTAGTCTGGAAAGATTAAGATCCACTGGTCTAAAGGGCAATGTTCAAATTCTGTGATTCTTATAGTAGTCTCGTGAGTTTAACAAAAGAGACAATTTTATGGTAGCTTTGTATTAATGGCAAAAACTACCTATCTAACAAGTCCAGTTAATTTGTTATAAGTCAAGAATTTTTGATACTAGTTATACTTTAATCGGGTGTTTTTTAATTTTAAAAACAAAACTTCAAGTTAATAGAAATCAAGTAGGAATGGAAACACTGAGCAAAAATGAAATGCAAAATTATAAATATAAAATTTTTGCATATGCAGTGCTGTCTTGGCAGGATATTTAGTAAAAAAATTGAAGTTTTGTTTGTCAGATACATTTGTATTTATTGCTGCTTCTAGAGCAGGGGTGGCCAACCTGAGCCTGAGAAGGAGCCAGAATTTACCAATGAACATTGCCAAAGAGCCACAGTAATACGTCAGCAGCCCCCATCCGCTACCCCCCTCAGCTCCCAGCACTTCCCACCCTCCGGCAGCCCTGCCAATCAGCTGTTTTGCAATGCGCGGGAGGCTCTGGTGGGGGGGGGGAGCGAGGACATGGCAGGCTCAGGGGAAGGGGCAGGGGCCTTGGGAGAAGGGTCGGAGTGGTGGCAGGATCTGGGGCAGAGCAGGGGGTTGAGCAGTGAGCACCCCACAGCACATTGGAAAGTTAGCATCTGTATCTCCAGCCTCAGAGTCAGCACCTATGCAAGGAGCCACATATTAACCTCTGAAGAGCTGCATGCGGCTCTGGAGCCACAAATTGGCCACCCCTGTTCTAGGGCTATATGAGATGGTTTATAATTTGCAGCTACTAACACTAGCTAATGAAGATAGACTGCCCTTTTGACAGGAAAAACTTCTCTTCTGAGAAAGGATGATAATAAACTGGTTCTAAAATAGAGTGCTTTGTAGAATAATCCCAAAAGAATACTTTAATTCAATAACAATTCTGTAATTTTTTGCTTTTTCATAGGCATGCCTCCCATTCGGGACTTGGTCAGCCATTCCCCTAACCAGTCAGGTGATGCATACCTATTTCAGTCTCATGTTTGTTGTGCACTACGTGTATGTTTATAAGAGTTACATATTTCAGTAACTACTTGCACAATTATTTGATTTTGCTTCTTGGTTGGTGGTTGTTTTAGAAGCTTGACTGTTAACGTGTGTGACTGACTTAAATGCTTACTGTTTGTTTATGCACTTATATACTACAATTAGGTTGAGTTCTTAATTTAATATAAAAATTCTCTGGGGCAAAGTTCTGGACTACACCAGTAGGTTCCAATGCACAGTTAGGTGCTGTATATGATAAATAATTGTGACCACTGATACTAAATAAATACTGTATTATATACATCAATAAGTATCCATAGTAATATGGAATTTCAGGTTTTTCTGATTTGTTCCTTCAGCTAGTTAAGTAACATAAAAGCAAGAAATGTTTTTTCCCCTCAGTTAGCAACATCCATATAAAACGTTCAGTTATCCATGGTGTTTTGGCTGCTTTCACGTGTCCTGTATCTCTGAAGGATCCGTCAGCCTTCAGTGTTATAGTTTTTATCCCTTTTTACATCTCAGAAGCTTAGACAGATATTTTTCTCTTTGGACTAGTCAATCAGAATTACAGATAATACAATATATAGTTCCTTTAAAGGTTCATGCAGAGTACTTAAGAACAGACTTTTGCTGAATAATATTTGGGTACTTATGTGCTTCACAATATCATAGAATGAGCTGTTGGCAGCAAACATACTTCTAGACACTTTAACTTATGCTAAATTGTGTTGGAAGTTGAGTAACTTAATGGGCTTTTTTAGTAGAATAGTTACAACTAGGTCACTTGCTTCTGAGCCTTAAGGCTGTTGGTTCGTATTTTATGTTGAGACTGCCTCATGCGTAGCGTAGAAAGAGGAGAGAACTGACAGTTGTCATCTTCCATTGAGATATTAAACTGAAGTCTTGGTGTTCAAGTCATAATCTTTCTCTGAACAAAACAAGTTCTCACATGTAAGGTTTTGGGTTGCTGGAGTACATTGTAGTGATTGTTTGCTTACACAGTAACTGCACTTCCCTTGTTTTACTCATTACATTGTAATACCTCAAGTATGAAACGTGCTATCATAATTATCTTTGCTGATTCAGATACTTTTTTATACATTTTTCTTATCCGTTTTCATTGCCACAACCTTTGTAATTGTATTAGCAGTACCATAATATGGGGAACCACAGCTCCAAAATATTTTATTTCCATGAACTCTTGAAAATCTTCAGTGCAAGGTCTTTGAATCTGAGCAGTTGAAAAGAAACTTTTCTTTTAAGCAAGTTGATCTCATTTTACGTTTTCTACTCCTTTCTTGCAGTTTAAAAATACATGATAGCTGGTGCATAATGTCGCAGTCTCTACTTTGGGTATATAGTTGACTTAATTCTAAAGATTATGTAAAATAAACTGGTGAAGAAAAACCTGTTATAAACAAACATTAGGTTACTAGTCTAAGTCTTTTAGCCTGTTTTCATCAGCAAGTAGTATCAAGCTCTGGGTATCTTATCAAAGAGCACAGACCCGAATTTTTAATGTTGACTTTTAATACCGAAGTATATTTTATAAGATGTCTACTAAGAGAGATTTTTTTCAGAGCAATCTCAGAAAACTTTTGTGTGTAGAGCGCTCCAGCAAAAATAATCACTGCAAGACTAGCTAAACTTCCCATCTGACTAGAATGCAAAGAAAAAAATCCTTCATATCGCTGTAAAGTCATTGCCTTTCAAAATCTTTTGCAAGATTTCAGTGAAATAAAGCCATTCAATTACTTTGTCAAAGCATTTTCAGTGATACATTCAGTGACACAAATATTGGCAGAGAGATGCAGGAATAAGGTCTTTGTTTGGCAGTCATTTTAAAATTAAGGCTATTATTTTTTTAAAATAAAAATCTGACCCAATATTTATGCTTCAATTGTATACCAGTCCTTAAGGCATATGTCAAAGAAACATGAAAAGCTCATAAGTAATGTCAGTATTTTAAGATGTAACCATTTTTCTAAATGTCATTTTTAAAAACACATTAAAAACTTCCAGCAAATGAGTGAAATATTAATAGTGGTGGACTACATACTCTAGCTTTATTTATAAGTATTAATGGTTACAATATCTTGGGGGTGTTCTACTAATCAAAATCAGCATAATTCTTGAGATTAGATGCAAGGTGCTATTGCCTACAAATTGATCTTTAGACTAGACGTTAGCTAGAGAAAGTGAATTTACATCACTTGGCTTTAATTATTCCCTTGCCCATTCTTCTCTAGTTTTATATTACCTATTTAAATTGTAAATTTTTTGAGGGTGGGGTCATGTCTTCATGACTGACTGTAAAGTGCTTTACTCACTGTTCATGCTTTAAACATGCTAAATAACAACCATGAAAGCTTGAGACTTGCTGATCTAAGATGGTAGTGGAACAAGCAAGAGATTTGTCTGAAATTAGCTTGTGTCCCTTTTAAGTCAAATACACATTAGTAAATGCACTAGTACTCTGTGTTCATCCACAAACTATGCATTTTCCATAACTACCATCTAAAGGAGAACATATTTATCTAGGGCGCTTGTATAATTCCACTGAACAGATATACATGTTTAGCAGAGAAATATTTGCATGCTAATTATCAATTACCCAGGTAAATAAGGCTATCAAGTGTTTGAATATTCAGATTTTGAATATTCTGAAGCAAAGGTGTTAACTGTGTTAGCTTAAAAGAAATTGTGTGCAGTTTGCTTAGCAAATCCTGAATGTCTTATTATGGTGAGAAGTCCTTTTCTGCAGGTATAAAATATATTTGAGAATGTAATATTATGCTGCATTTTTTCCTATTCATACAAATATTAAGCCAGTAACTTACCTGACAGTTTTTCCTGATCTTCTATTAGGTTTTGGTATTTTGTTTCATATTATTCATTGTTCAAGCATTACATGTTTTTATAGTACTGTATTTCCAAATAGCTATCCTGCTATTAATTAGTTGGTTTTTCATATAACTTACAGCAAACTTTAAAAAAATTGATGTGGGGAAGCACTTTTGTTCCGATTGTCGGTTTGGTGGATGAAAAAGGAGTTCAAGTCTCTAATAGAGATTTAGACACTCAGGATGACCCAATGTGTGGCAAAGTGCACCCCTTTTGGTGTGCTGCTTTGCCTTTGGCAGCAGCCTCTATCCGACACTTTAATAGAAAGTTAAAAACCTTATTCTGCATGTAGCCAACTGTGAAATACTTCTAAATAGCTGGGGAGAATTTCTTCTTGATTCCTGCATGTGATCAGCTTATACCCTGAAAGAGAAAATGTTTTAACTTGCACAGATGCAAATTCAGCCATGCTAGTTGATTTGCACTCCATATCCATGAATTCCACAGGGGAGGGACTGATCAGCTTTTACTCTGTTCCTTATAACTGTGAATATCACAGTAGAGTTCCCCTCTTGCTCTTCGTTCCACGGAATGTAGTCTTAATTTTTGCAGTCTTCTATAGAATTGAACCTTGCCACTAAGCCATTTCCTTTTAAATCTCACCTTTACTTTCCTTTTTCTTTGAAGTGACTTCCTGTAAACCACTTTCTTATTCTACGTATGGAGGATGATGTACAAAAGTAAATACCTTGAATTAACCTGTCACTTAAAATATATTATTCAATGTCCTTTAATGGTGTTTCTTTCCATACTTCTTTTCCTTGGCTACTGTTGCATAGTAGTCTGTTTAACTTCCTGTTATATATAACATTCTCCCTTTCAGAATATCGCTTTCAGACTTTAACAATTGTTTTGTTTTTTGATTTGTATACTGCCCCTTTCATAAAGTATTCTACACATGAGCAGTATAATATTTAAAAACACAAACTGTAATGGCAACCCAAACTGTAATTTATTAGGGATGCCATATTTAATTTCATACCTCAAATATATGAATATATTTTTCCATGCCCTTGCTAAGTGTTCTGCTAGGTATTATATGTGGCAATTGATATATTAATGTCTTCATAAATCCAGTGATAAAAGTGTTAGAGTAATCTGTGCAATACCTCTGACTTTGAATTGTTGTACTTGTCTTATACAGTAAAACCTCAGAGCTACGAACACCTTGGGAATGGAGGCTGTTCATAACTCTGAACAAAACATTTTGGGTTGTTCTTTCAAAAGTTTACAACTGAACATTGACTTAATACAACTTTGAAACTTTACTATGCAGAAGAAAAATGCTGCTTTTAACCCTCTTAATTTAAATGAAACAAGCACAGAAACAGTTTCTTTACCTTGTCAAATCTTTTTTTACTTTTTCTTTATTTTTTTAGTAGGTGGGGGTGGGGTTTGAAGGGAAAATAAATAAATAATTTAAAAAATTGGATCTCTAGTGCTGGCTGATTGCATACTTCTGGTTCCAAACGAGGTGTGTGGTTGACTGGTCAGTTTGTAACTCTGGTGTTTGTAACTCTGAGGTTCTACTGTAATCTTTTTTTATTTTATTTTATTTTATTTATTTATTGGTGTTAACTGAAGTAAAATTCTTGAATTTACAGAAGAATTGTTTTGTTTTCCTTTTCTTATTAGATCTGAACCACAGTGGTCTAGGATCCCATTATGAAAATTCTCACTGGGGACCAGTCTCTTCAAATAGTGACTCCAGCACAAACTGGGATAAAGTTATCGTAGACGGTTCTGACAAAGTAGCATGGCCATCAATCACAGGCAGTGACCCAGAGTTGGCTTCAGAATGTATGGACACTGACTCCGCCTCTAGCTCTGGGTCAGAGAGAAATCTTGTTGTTATGGCTTCAGGGAGCACAGGTGGTGAAAACGATAGCGTTCGGAATGGCATTGGACATGGTTCTCAAAATAAGTTTGTGGTTGGTAGCAACAGCAATAATGTGGGCAATGGAAGTATTAATGGGCCATGGGGTTTATCCCATGGAACCATAATAAGCACATGTCAAGTTTCTGTGGATGCTCCTGACAGCAAATCTGAAAGTAGCAACAATAGAATGAATGCTTGGGGCACCATAAACTCTTCATCAAATGGAGGGTTAAATCCAAGCACTTTGAATTCAAATGGCAACCATGGTGCCTGGCCTGTATTGGAGAACAATGGACATGCCCTGAAAGGGTCTGTAGGGAGTGGTAATTCTGGCACAAATATTCAGTGCAGTACCATAGGTCAGAAGTCTAACAATCAGAGTATTAACTCTAAAGTGGGTGGTTCAGCCCATGGTTCCTGGGCAAGCCTTCAGGAAAATTGTGATTCTGAAGTGAATGGTACAAGGAAGGTTTCATTCAGTGGACAACCTCAAAACCTTAACACTGAAATGAATGGACCAAATAACACTACTAACTTTATGACCTCTAGTTTACCAAACTCTGCTGGTTCAGTACAGATTAACAAACTGCCTAATAATACAGGGCCTGGGGCCTGGCGTGTGAGCACAATGAATCATTCTCAGATTCAGGCCTCTCCAGTTACAAATGGCACTTCCACTTCTCATCTTAGCAATGGTGAGGCAAAAAATGGTGGATCTTATGGTACTACGTGGGCTGCCTATGGTTCTAATTACTCTGGAGACAAATGTTCAGGCCCAAACAGCCAAGCTAATGGTGACACTGTGAATGCAACTCTAACGCAGCCTGGCAGCAATGGGCCTGGCAGCACTAATTTTCAAATCAACGGGAATAAAGGAGGAGGGGTATGGGAGGGAGGGACAGTCAACTCCCAAAATATGCCATGGGGAAGCGCAAATGGTGCGAGTTCTGGAGGAAGTCGAAGAGGATGGGGCAACCCTGCACAAAACACTGGCACTAGCATTTCAAATGGGGAATGGAATAAACTGCCTAGCAATCAGCATTCCAATGAAAGCGTAAATGGAAATAGTAGGAAGTTTACAAATGGATGGAAATCTGCTGAAGAGGATGATCTTAATAGCCAGAATTCTGCTGCATCTCAGATAACTGAGCAGAAAAATGTATGGGCCAAAACAGGTACTGGGGATAGCGAGGGTAGTACAGAGAGCACTGGATGCCATGATGATAAAGTAACTGCAGAAGGACAGAACCGAGAGAGAAGAAAAGTTGACCAGCATGCATTACTCCAAAGTATAGTGAGCAGAACTGACTTAGATCCACGTGTCCTTTCCAACTCTGGTTGGGGACAGACTCCAATTAAACAAAACACTGCCTGGGATACTGAAACATCGCCAAGAGGTGAAAGAAAGACTGACAATGGGACAGAGGCCTGGGGAGGCTCTGTGACACAGACTTCCAGCTCAGGGGGATGTGTGGAGAGACCTAGCCCTAATGTTAATGATACCTCATCTATATCAGGGTGGGGAGATCCAAAGTCTGCTACAAGGTGGGGAGACTCCAAAGGCTCCAACAGCCAAGGGGGGTGGGAAGAGGATTCTGCTGCTACAGTAATGGTCAAGAGCAATCAATTATGGGTAAGTGGCAAAGAGGACAAGTCGTCCTGGAATGATACACAGAAGATCAAACAGGGATGGGTAGATGGACAAAAAGCCAGCCAAGGTTGGGCAATTTCTGCCAATGACAGCTGGGGAGAAAATTCAAGAAGCAACCATTGGGGTGAGGCTAAGAAATCTAGTTCAGGAGGTAGTGACAGTGACCGATCAGTATCTGGTTGGAATGAGTCTGCTAAATCAAATTCTGTTACTTGGGGAAGTAGTAATACAAACCCAAATAATTCTTCAGGATGGGATGAGCCTGCAAAGTCTAATCAGAGCCAGGGCTGGGGAGAAACTCCCAAATCAAATCAGCCTCAAGGTTGGGGTGATTCGTCAAAGCCAGTCAACTCCCCAGACTGGAACAAGCAGCAAGATGTTGGATCTTGGGGAGCACCATCTACCACAAATAAACCACCAGGTTCCGGGTGGTTGGGTGGACCAATACCAAGTCCAGCAAAGGAAGAGGAACCCACAGGATGGGAGGAGCCATCCCCAGAATCAATACGCCGTAAAATGGAAATTGATGATGGAACTTCTGCTTGGGGTGATCCAAGCAAATACAACTACAAAAATGTGAATATGTGGAATAAAAATGTCCCAAACAGTAGCAGCAGTTCAGACCAGCAAGCACAGGTACATCAGCAGCTACTGCCTTCAAGTGCCATGTCCAACAAGGAGAGCAGTAATGGTTCTGGTAAGATTTCATTTTACCTAGACTTGTGTTTTCTTGGGCAATTATAAAACACTTCTCTGGACTTTGTTTGAAACTAGAAACTTCTGTAAGGTGAGGAATCGTTTTGTCAGAGAACTGAGAGCAGTGCAAATAGGTTTTCAGTGCTTGTATTTTATTTGAAGGAATCTTTCTGAAATTTAAAAAGTGAACTTGAGCAGTATAGTTAGCGCTAGGCTACTCCTCTTGCATTTAAGTGGCTGAGGGTGTAGAGGAAGAAAAAAAAAAAAAAGCAACATCCAGAAAGGGGAAGCACTTTTGCTTTGTATGTAGCTCCAGATTTTAATTAACTTCAGCTGTGACATTAACTTTAAGCCTCTGTGGCAAACAGAGTGGCATTAAGAGGTGTCTGCAAGGTACAGTGCAGACTCAAGGCTTCACCTGTGTCCTTAATACAGAATTTTTATTGCCAACAATGAGGAGGGCACTTTGCTGCTCACTTCTTGGTGAGGGAAGGCACTGCGAGTTTATTTATATTGCTATAGCAGGTTTGGACTTCAGAAAAAGAGCTCTGACCTTAATAGATTGGGGGAAGGGTAGTTGAGCTTGCACAGTATAGCTAAGAAAGTATTTGCCTTCCAGTAATTTTCAGTTGCAGTTGAATCAGATCCAAAAGAGAAATGCCTTCAATTTGAAGTGGAGTTTTTAGATGTTTAGTGTCTTCTCATTTGAGAAATCTCTGTAATCAAAATGTAATGTTTTCATGTATGGAACTGGTGTTATATTTAGTTTTTTCTTCATGAAGAATCTTACAACTGCAATATTTTAGTTGATTTAAAATGTGTATTTATCTTGCTTTTAATTATGTGTTGTATTATATTTTGCGTGTAAAGAACCCCTCAGCGTTTTACATAATGTTTTAAGACTTGTTAAACTCACGAATAACTCCTACTGCTTTAAAAAGGTTGGGGAGAGCCTTCTACTCCTGCCACTACTGTAGATAATGGAACGTCCGCGTGGGGTAAACCCCTGGATACTGGTACTAGCTGGGGAGAGCCCATCAGTGATGCAGCAGGCACCTCTGGCTGGGGAAATGCGTCTGTTGGTCAGCAGGCTTCAAGCAAACCTGGTATGTGCTTTTGCAGCTTCTTTGAGTGTGCAGGTGGTGTAGTGTGAAATAGTGACCAAGAAGTTTGATTGTGAATTCAAATATAACAGGCTTGTATCTTGATAGTTACGTAAATACAAAAGGTAGATGTGCTCTCTGTAAATTTGATAGTGACTTTCTCAGATCTTAGGTACTGAAGATAAATTCTATTTTCATTAGTATTTTTAATAATGGGAAATTAGCAGCTTTTCTTTTTTTTTTTTTTTTTAAGACTAGTGTCATAAGTTAAAACAAATGCTGTCGGTTGATTTCTTTTTCTGTTGCCTTTGATCTCCCTGGATTCACAAGATTATGGCAGAATATCAGGTTTGTCACAATAATATAGTTTTACTTAACAATTGAATATAGTCTGGCAACCTTAAGATGTATTTATATTAAAGGGAGTTAGTTCGTGACTGAAAAATCTTTACACCCAGGGCCTAAATCTATGCAAGATGGTTGGTGCGGTGATGATATGTCATTGCCAGGGAGTCGGCAGACCAGCTGGGAGGAAGATGATGAAGTAGAGATTGGAATGTGGAACAGCAGTTCATCCCAAGAAGTTAACCCATCTTTGAATTGGCCACCGTACATGAAAAAAATGCCTACAAAGGTAATTATGACTTTACGAGGTGAGGCTGGAATTTAAGAATGCAAGAAGTCTGGGGGACAGAAAATGGATGTAATTCCTAAAAGCCTCTCACACAGGAACTATTTTGTGGGTAGGTGTAGGTGTGGGGAGATAGCTTCTAAATGCCCCAGTCAGGACCCCATTGAACTCTGTGTTGTACAATTATGTAGGAAGGCTTAATCCTTGTTTACATTTTAATTTAATCCTTTCTTACAATGTAATATACGTGCTGGTGACTGTTTCAAGTATCACAGTAATCCCTTTTATTTTTAAGGGAACAATGAAAGGTGGAAATAAACAAGATGAAACGTGGATAAATCCATTCATTAAGCAATTCACAAATCTCAGTTTTTCAGTAAGTATGGTATATTTGGCAGGCTTGATAAATACCCTTGTTTCAATTAAATCATTTTGAAGTTTAGATTAACTGCTTTCTTCTTTGATTTGTTTTTTCCATTCCTTTACTGTTCAGCTCTTCAATATAAGAACATCTGTTGTTCGAAAAACTTCTTATAAACATCACTGAGTTTTAATTCTAGTAGCATATACCAGATCGTCAATATTTTTGTGTGTCTGAAGATGTCTGTCTTCATCGATAGAGGGATTGGAAAAAATGCTTGCAAAATCACACGTGCTTTGTCAAAAGTTTGATTATTCTTTCCTGCAGGGTTGAATGAAATACTCACTGTATCTGGATCTCCTTTGTTTTAACTTTTTTTAAAGGTTCTTACTAAACTGATTCATTTTATTACTTCAGAGAGAATCACCAGAAGAAACCATACCGAGCAATAAGATGGACATGTCTGGAGGTAAGCATAAGGGAAATTAGTCTTGTGTTTACCGATTTGACAGTTATTCCACATATTTTTGTTTGCATCCTCTCCTGAGTTATTAAAAAATAATTCTCATTCCCCTAAAGAAACGGAGGTCCTGATTATGTAAATACTTGCACACATGAGAAACTTGACATATATAAGTAGTCCCATTGATGGCAATGAAATTACTCATAAGTAAAGTTAAGCATGTGCATAAGTGTTGACATGATGGGAGCCTAAATATGAACTTAAAAATCTATCTAGGCCTCCTCCTGAGCAACTTGGTTGCTACTGGAAACAAAGATTTGATACGACATTAATCACTAATGCATTTAGTTTGGTCTTAGAAACAACAAATTTAGCTGTTCAAAGAGGTTTTCATTATCTATAAAAGAGAATCTTGCATGCTAAGAATATTTTAAAGTATATTTATCTTTACTGTAACCTCTCATTAATGAAAGTCTGTTTATGTGGAACTGGTCCATTCATAGTAAATTTGAATGGTTTCTCTAGCAAATAAACATAGTAGAATAACTTTGAATAATGAGTGAAAATGAAAGATGTGCAGTAGAAGTCTCTTGTGGAGGAAAAAACAGTATCCACTAGTTACAAGATGACCATTCTGTGATTGCATCTCAAAGATGAGCAGAATTTGTTCAGAATTGCATGTTGTCAGGTAGTTTTGGTCCTTACTCTAAGATTGTGTAAAGAAAATTGTAAACAAATTATAAATATTTTCATTAAGCTCATTGTGTTAAGTCATTTCATGCTTTTTTTATTGAGATTTACATTCCCCTGCACAGTGCAGCAGGAGATAGAGAATTAAACTGAATAGCTAATTTGTATTGGACAAGCTAAAAGGCAACATGTAAACTAAAATTCATTCAATGTGCAGCGGCAGTCAAAGTTAACAATGTTGGGAATCATTAGGAAAGGGATAGATAATAAGATAGAAAATATCATATTGCCTCTACATAAATCCATGGTACGCCCACATCTTGAATAGTGCATGCAGATCTTGTTGCACCATGTCAAAAAAGATGTATTGGAATTGGAAAAGCTTCAGAAACTGGCAACAAAAATGATTTAGGGGTATGAAACTGCTTCCATATGAGGAGAGATTAATAAGACTGGGACTTTTCAGCTCGGCAAAGAGACGACTAAGGAGGGATATGAGCGGTCTATAAAATCATGACTGGTGTGGAGAAAGTAAATAAGGAAGTGTTATTTACTCCTCGTAACACAAGAACTAGAGGTCACCAAATAAAATTAATAGGCAGCAGGTTTAAAACAAACATAAGGAAGTATTTTTTTACACAACACACAATCAACTTGTGGAACTCATTGCTAGAGGGTGTTGTGAAGGCCAAGACTATAATAGGGTTCAAAAAAAGAACTAGATAAGTTCGTGAAGGATAGGTCCATCAATGGTTATTAGCCAGGATGGGCAGGGATGGTGTCCCGAGCCTCCGTTTGCCAGAAGCTGGGAATGTTCAATAGGGGATGGATCACTTGATGATTCCCTGTTCTGTTCATTTCCTCCGGGGCACCTGGCACTGGCGGAAAACAGGATACTGGGCTAGATGGACCTTTGGTCTGACCCAGTATGGCTGTTCTTAAATTTTTTAAAGTAAATTAGATTTTTACATTTTTCTAGTTTAATTATCCAGTTTGACACTAGTATACACGTATCTTAAATTATTTTTATCTATTGTTTCTTTAAAGGATTTTTGTAACTGAATGAAGTACTTGTTGAAGGATTTATGGAATTTTCTCATCCAAATAGAAGGAAGATGGTAAATGTAACTGCAAACCAGGAAAATTTTTACTGCTAGTATTAAGAATGTATGGTTAACATCTGGAAATACAAACTTCAAACACCATGTGAGACTTGTCCTGTTCTCCACAAAAACAATGCAATCAGTTTTGTCTGAAGACCAGTAAAATCTGTTTAATCAGTTCTCCGGCAATCTCGTACAGCAGTCTTCATAGTATTTTGTGCTCTAAGGCAAAACAAGAAAAATGGTGTTTAAAATCATTCAAACATCTTAATTCAGTAGTGCCTCGTTTAGTGCAGTGATAAAATAGCACATACTTATTTACTATTAAGTATTTGAGCAACTAATTGGACTCTTCAACTTCATCGCCTTTCTTTCTTCACCTTATTAGGAATATTACAGGATAAACGAATAGAGTTGGATAAGCATGGCCTGAACGTTGGAGATTACAATCGGGTGGTAGGAAAGGGCCCTGGTTCTCGTCCTCAGATTTCCAAAGAGTCTTCCATGGATCGCAATCCTTATTTTGATAAGGTTAGTGACTGCTTAACTCTAACCCTGATAAACATTAATTCAGACAGCAGTCTGTAGCTATGATCCATTCGTCCCATAGCTTCTGTACTTGGTGGAGAGATAAATTAGGGCTTTACTATTAAACTGTAAAACTTGTTTTGTCCTTTTAACTTATTTATCAATACTAAGCACTTCTTCTACTTGCAGTGCAGATAACACTAATCTGGTCTTTTTTGTTTTCTGCCTGTTTCCTGCTGATGCTGGACTGTCATGTGACTCTTCCCTTCTGTTCCTGGCAATGGTTTCTCCCTTCTGCTTGCTTGCTGGCTGGTTGTTGCGCATCTGTTTGTCTATCCAATCAGGATGGCATTGTAGCAGACGAGTCCCAAAACATGCAGTTTATTTCCAATCAAAACATGAAGCTTCCCCCTTCAAATAGTGCACTACCTAACCAAGCCCTTGGCTCCCTAGCAGGGCTGGGTATGCAAAACTTGAATTCTGTTAGACAGGTAAGGCCATGTGCATATCCTCGGCATGTTACTTGATGAGAGCGTTTTATTCCTTTGAAATAGCAGCACAACTATTGTTTTGGCTGATATACTGTTAAATTCTAATTCTGAATACATAGGGGTGGGGGAAGCCGCAGAAGAGGGGTATTGTCACTAATGTTAACTTCTCTTTCCAGAATGGCAATCCCAGTGTGTTTGGCGTTGGTAATATAGCAGCACAGCCCAGGAGCATGCAGCAGCCCCCAGCACAACCTCTTAATTCATCCCAGCCTAACTCACGTGCTCAAGTGCCTCCTCCATTACTCTCCCCTCAGGTAATACAAGACAGAGCAACCACTGTTGTTAACGTGCCAGAATTCCTTTATTGTCAGTCATCCACAGCTTTCCAAAACATTCCAGTCGGGGAGTACAATCGTTTATACTTGGTCTCGGTTGAAAAATTGCACCTCTACCCCGATATAACGCAACCTGATATAACACGAATTTGGATATAACGCAGTAAAGCAGCGCTCCAGAGGGGCGGGGCTGCACGCTCTGGCGGATCAAAGCAAGTTCGATATAACGCGGTTTCACCTATAACACGGTAAGATTTTTTGGCTCCCGAGGACAGCGTTATATCAGGGTAGAGGTGTACTTATAATTTGGAGCAAATTCTGTCCATTCATTTACTGAGTTTATGGCATAATAAACTTTTCTCTCAACCCAAAATTTCTCTCAACCCAAAAAGTCAGTTCTCAGCGAACAACACAATCTTTGCTGGGCCTGGGGAAAAAGTGGTTTAAAAATATTTATAACTACCTGAAGATGTGGGGCTGAGAATAAGCCATAGGAAACATCCTTAAGTTGCAGAGTGGTAGCTGTGTTAGTCTGTATCAGCAAAAAGAATGAGGCGTACTTGTGGCTCCTTAGAGACTAACAAAGTTAGTTATAGTTAGTTATGCATGCCCAAATAAATTTGTTAGTCTCTAAGGTGCCACAAGTACTCCTCGTTCTTTATTCTTAAGTTGGCAATTGTGCCGTTGGATGTGGTCTGCATGTGCACGCAGCTCTAAGTGCTTGATTTTCCTGTAATGCTGACAAACAGCATCCTTGATTTTTAGCCTGGATCCTCCCACCCGGTAGCTAACTCTCCACAGCGCACTTTTCTCCCTACTTGTACTCCCCCAATTACAGAGAATGTCCTGAAGCCAAATCCTGAGTTCCTTGTCTGTGTGGAGACTAGAAGGGACTCCATAGAAGCCCTGGTGCAGCATTACTAGAGTCTCTGAAGTGCAGCTGTTAGTGCACACTTCCTAGAGGCACTAGTATAGGATGGCGTTCCTGGTAACAGAGACGCATCTGTGTTCCACTAATTTTTCTTTCGAAATCAGGGGCAGGAATCTCTCTGTTGCAGTGCTACACACACAATCAAAAACTACAACTTAGAGCTCCGACAATGTTGCTTACTCCGTGGCATTGCACATATGCTGTCTTTTTTCTGTTTGTTTTTCTTAAATCCTGAATTTAAGATCTCTTTTAGGTGCATAGCATTAAGCAAACAGGGTGTGCAATATGGTTGAGTTAAAATTGGTGTCAGAACCCTAAATCATGCTTTTCCAGACTTTTGTGCCTTCAGTTGTGAAAATGTAATGTTTTAATTTACCTTTTTGTATTTACTAGTGTTAGTGTTTGATATTTTACTATATCTTCTAATTATTTTTATAGGGGAGCATATTTCGCACTTTCAGAGCATTGAATACTTGTTGACCTGATGGTTGTGCTGTTAACTGCATAGGTTACTGTCAATCTACCAGTGTTCAACTGTAGATTGTCATGGTTCATGTTATGTCAAACCCCGTATGCTAGAATATGGTCCATTTTACAGGTTCCAGTATCATTACTGAAGTATGCACCAAACAACGGTGGCCTGAGTCCACTTTTTGGCCCACAGCAGGTAGCCATGTTGAACCAACTATCCCAGTTGAACCAGCTTTCTCAGATCTCCCAGTTACAAGTAAGCTAAACAACCTACTCATTCTATTTTTTTAAACTTTAAAGTCTGATCAGAAACTTATCTGAACTATACCCCTTCATAAAAATATTCTGTTTCTTAGCGGTTGTTGGCTCAGCAGCAAAAAGCGCAGAATCAGAGAAGCATGCCTTCTACTGGTCGTCAACAGCAGGAACAGCAGGTACAATCATAGACAAGCTTTTTTAAAAAAAAAAAGTTAACTGTCTTAAGAGAGAGAGAACTAGTTTGTTGCTTATTTTAGAATATAGTTAATAACGGGCAGTTTACAAATGTGGACAAGGTAAGTGAAACTTTCATGGTGCTTGAACCACAGGATAGAATGCACTTTAACCTTAGTGTTGGATTTTGCTGAGCTAAAATATACAAAGGAAAATGCATTAGTGTATTTATCTGCTCTTGCCAAATGTGATTTCCCCCTCCACCCCCCCACTTATTTCATGACTGATGTGGGGTTTTTTTAAGGGTCGATCTCTTAGTATGCAGCAACAGATGATGCAACAGTCCCGTCAGCTTGATCCAAACCTGTTAATGAAGCAGCAGACTCCACCATCTCAACAGCAGCCACTCCATCAGCCTGCCATGAAATCTTTCCTTGAGAATGTCATACCCCATGCTACTCCTGAGCTGCAGAAAGGGCCATCACCAATAAATGCATTCAGCAGCTTCCCTATAGGTGAGTTTCTCCATCGCTAGTCTAGTGCAGTGAACTGATGCTTGTGTGCCACAGGATGCACAACCTTCCCTTTTCCCTTTGCATTTTCCCCTCTGGGAACAACACTGTTTTGTATCCTGTTAGTGCTTCTCTGTCTCTCACTAAGAGCAGCAGCATCTTTTATTGGACTCATCCTGTTGTCTCTGTTCAGGAAAGAAGTTCGCCAATCAAACTCATACCATTTCCAAAGGTGAATAAGTCTGTGTTACCGTGCAAAATGCTTTAAGTTCTTTGCAATGTCTGTCTCCTTGCATTTGTCTTTCTTACCCTGTGGGTTCAGAGCTGCTGACATAAAGTCCTAAGTACATAATTATGAGTCCTGGAGCCAAAGAGCTTTTGGGAACAGTATCCGTGTGAGGAACCCACATGAAAGGTCTTATTTCTCTGGCTATTAAAATGTCTTCCCTGGTTTTGGAATTACATAGATAGCAAAATGGTATTTGGTGCTAACTTTTACAAGTTTTATCCAGCTGCTGTAATTGCATCAAAAAATATTCGCTCTGAACTTAGAATGCTTCTCTCACTATAGGCAAAACAAATGAACCTTTATAACTGCAAACATCTTGTCCTTTTTCTCTCCCCTTTTTTCTACACTTTCAGGCTTGTATCCAATTTCCACTTCAGAAATTCCAGGCTTGTATATTTTTCCTTCCTTAGGCCCCTTCTGATTGCTTTTTTAATATTTCCTAAAATTGGTATTCCCGGTTTCTCCCTCCTTCCCCAGCCCCCATTTTTTCCTTCCCTGTCCAGTTTGCTTTGCTCGCGCATCTCTCTATTCCTGCTGTTTATGTTGAGCTGGTCTCCTTTGCATTCATGTTGCCCTACTCTGTAGAAAAGTTGATTTTTTTACAGACTCTGCTGCTGAAATCCCCTTGCTTTAGAGATTGAATGATGTGGAGCAAGTAGATTAGTGCAGGCCGTGCTGCTACACTGCATGTGGCCCCCTGGCACTTTGCTTGTGGCCAGACTGAAACCTAAGCTGCTGCTTAATAGCTGCTGTTGGTTGGTGTCCAGATCCAGTTTCTTGGTAGCTACAGTAATTAAGAGGATATGTAAAAATGTGGCCCACTGGTGGTCATTAACGATTCCATGGCACTTCTTGCAAGAGTAGGGATATTTAACTCTGATCTCCTATCAGATTCCAAATTGGGTAATTACATCTTGCCAATCTTGAATTCCCCTTGCTGTTTCAACTGGATATAGCATTCTTCACTCCTTGGTTTAAACTGTTGTGTAATGTTGCTGTACATTGTTAAACAGATGTTGTGTTTCACTTCCAGGTTAACTGCGGGTCCCTGGTGGGTGACAATAGTGTTTGTAAAATTGTTATGAGATACTTTGAATTAACACTATATAAATTATAAAATCAAAAGTGTAGCAGAATCCAGGTCACAAGTGAAAAGTTAAAAAATAAGAGTATTAGGTTGCTGGAACCAACTAAACTTCTCAGTGAAGAATAGAGTCCGTAAGAAAGATGATGGCAATCTCTAGCAGCACACGGCAGTAGCATTACAGTGAGAGGAAGAACCAAAATTGGAGAGTTCTCTTCCTAAAGGTTGCTATATTTCCTGCTTATACTTTCACAGCATTATGGGGGGGGCTTCTTGTGGCATTCAGAGCAGGACAGCCTCTGCATGGGCACTTTTTAAAGACACCATAATAGAGGCCCAACTTCAGTGTATACCCCAAATTAAGAAACACAGTAAAAGAACTAAAAAAGAGCCACCGTGGCTTAACAACCATGTAAAAGAAGCAGTGAGAGATAAAAAGACTTCCTTTAAAAAGTGGAAGTCAAATCCTAGTGAGGCAAATAGAAAGGAGCATAAACGCCGCCAAATTAAGTGCAAAAATGTAATAAGAAAAGCCAAAGAGGAGTTTGAAGAACGGCTAGCCAAAAACTCCAAAGGTAATAAAATGTTTAAGTACATCAGAAGCAGGAAGCCTGCTAAACAACCAGTGGGGCCCCTTGATGCTCGAGATACAAAAGGAGTGCTTAAAGACGATAAAAGTCATTGTGGAGAAACTAAATGGATTCTTTGCTTCAGTCTTCACGGCTGAGGATGTTAGGGAGATTCCCAAACCTGAGCCGGCTTTTGTAGGTGACAAATCTGAGGAACTGTCACAGATTGAAGTATCACTAGAGGAGGTTTTGGAATTAATTGATAAACTTAACATTAACAAGTCACCGGGACCAGATGGCATTCACCCAAGAGTTCTGAAAGAACTCAAATGTGAAGTTGCGGAACTATTAACTAAGGTTTGTAACCTGTCCTTTAAATCGGCTTCTGTACCCAATGACTGGAAGTTAGCTAATGTAATGCCAATATTTAAAAAGGGCTCTAGAGGTGATCCCGGCAATTACAGACCAGTAAGTCTAACGTCGGTATCGGGCAAATTAGTCAAAACAATAGTTAAGAATAAAATTGTCAGACACTTAGAAAAACATAAACTGTTGAGCAATAGTCAACATGGTTTCTGTAAAGGGAAATCGTGTCTTACTAATCTATTAGAGTTCTTTGAAGGGGTCAACAAACATGTGGACAAGGGGGATCCAGGGGACATAGTGTACTTAGATTTCCAGAAAGCCTTTGACAAGGTCCCTCACCAAAGGCTCTTACGTAAACTAAGTTGTCATGGGATAAAAGGGAAGGTCCTTTCATGGATTGAGAACTGGTTAAAAGACCGGGAACAAAGGGTAGGAATTAATGGTAAATTCTCAGAATGGAGAGGGGTAACTAGTGGTGTGCCCCAAGGGTCAGTCCTTGGACCAATCCTATTCAACTTATTTATAAATGATCTGGAGAAAGGGGTAAACAGTGAGGTGGCAAAGTTTGCACATGATACTAAACTGCTCAAGATAGTTAAGACCAAAGCAGACTGTGATGAACTTCAAAAAGATCTCACAAAACTAAGTGATTGGGCAACAAAATGGCAAATGAAATTTAATGTGGATAAATGTAAAGTAATGCACATTGGAAAAAATAACCCCAACTATACATACAATATGATGGGGGCTAATTTAGCTACAACAAGTCAGGAAAAAGATCTTGGAGTCATCGTGGATAGTTCTCTGAAGATGTCCGCGCAGTGTGCAGAGGTGGTCAAAAAAGCAAACAGGATGTTAGGGATCATTAAAAAGGGGATAGAGAATAAGACTGAGAATATATTATTGCCCTTATATAAATCCATGGTACGCCCACATCTTGAATACTGCGTACAGATGTGGTCTCATCTAAAAAAAGATATACTGGCACTAGAAAAGGTTCAGAAAAGGGCAACTAGAATGATTAGGGGTTTGGAACGGGTCCCATATGAGGAGAGATTAAAGAGGCTAGGACTCTTCAGCTTGGAAAAGAGGAGACTAAGGGGGGATATGATAGAGGTATATAAAATCATGAATGATGTGGAGAAAGTGGATAAGGAAAAGTTATTTACTTATTCCCATAATACAAGAACTAGGGGTCACCAAATGAAATTTATAGGCAGCAGGTTTAAAACAAATACAAGGAAGTTCTTCTTCACGCAGCGCACAGTCAACTTGTGGAACTCCTTACCTGAGGAGGTTGTGAAGGCTAGGACTATAACAGCATTTAAAAGAGAACTGGATAAATTCATGGTGGTGAAGTCCATTAATGGCTGTTAGCCAGGATGAGTAACGAATGGTGTCCCTAGCCTCTGTTTGTCAGAGGATGGAGATGGATGGCAGGAGAGAGATCACTTGGTCATTGCCTGTTGGTCCAATCCCTCTGGGGCACCTGGCATTGTCCACTCTCGGTAGACAGGATACTGGGCTAGATGGACCTTTGGTCTGACCCGTTACGGCCGTTCTTATGTTCACTTCCCACACTTTAGATAAGTGAATTTAAATCTTTGTGCGCCAAGGTCAAGTAGGGCTCTTTTTCAGTAGAAATTCAATTTTTCTATCTCTCACCCTCCCATAGCCTGATCCTATTAGTCTTAATATTTCCTCTGCTATGGATATATCTTTTTGTAGATAAATACTAGGTATTTCCCAAGAACATGATCATGGGAGCATTTCAGATATGTAAAGTGGCTTACATGATGACTTGCTGAGGTCAGGTTCAGACCGATCATGTACTGAGGGTGAAATTCATTCTCCATTGCACATAGACCAAATAATGGCACTTTTCCCATGCAGACTTTCCTGTACACAGGATGGAATCCCCCTTTGTGAGCTGGCTGTGGCCACTCTTCCAGTCTCTGATCCTCCTCATACCCTGTGCGCAGGCTTCAGTGGACTCCTCTGCACTAGCTTCTTTGGAGCTGACGCAAAGGGTGCAGAGATCACTGATGTGAAATGAGCACCAGTTGTGTTTCCCACAACTGCTTTGCAAAGAACCCAGGATAGAGGGCTCAAGCACTGGCATATTTTTATCCTCCTTTCTGCTGTTTCAGATCTGTTGACGGTTGTCTGACATTTGCAGAATCTTGGACGTTGCACCTGTTCACCTATCAGTTAGTGAAACATTTGCTGGGAAGCTCCCTAGAGGGTGCTGCAGAGTGGTGGTAACCTGTCTGGCATCAGCGTCTACTTGTGGGCTCTCTTTGGAGAGCATACATAGGGCAGCAAAAGTTGGCCCATGAGAAGAATGCAGTGTCAAACTTTAACTTTTCCTAGTGAAGAACTTTGACTAGTTCCTAGTGAAAGTGAGTAGGCTAGTAAAATGAATTATGAAATCCTGTGACTCTTTAGCTGTATATGAAAATGCTACCCCATGGTCCCTGTGCAGGATCTACAGGAATGAAGCAAACCGTAAATAGAGATCTGATGGCAAAATGCCCCTTAAGTTTCCAGAGTTATACTTTTGTAATGGACCATGAGGTCTCTGCCACTTCACTCAGCACCGGGAGGATTGCCTTCAAACTACCTTCGGCTGCTGTCTCTTCGCTGTTCAGATTATCACCCTGTGACTTTCCCTTAAGGAACTGGAGTGAGTGAAGAATGCCAGAGTCGATAGTGTGTTCATTAAGCTTGAATACTAAATACTGGGTTCCCATACAAGAATGTTAGAGTGGCAGTTCAGATCGTTTCCATGCTTCTGGTTTGGCAGACTATGCCCCGTTTATACTCTGGCTCCAAGTCCAAACTGCTTCCATAGAACATGCAAAGAGCACGAGTGGGGGGGAAGTGGGTTGTTTTTGTTGTTTTGTGTCGAATCAGGATTAATATTGTTTGTGGACAGGATAAATGTGGACCAAAAAAACAAAGATGCCTGTGCAGCTCCTTGTAAAGTGCCCATGAATCTCTGCAAAGTACAGTTCAGTTGTCCAGCCAAGTATCCTGTTAAATAGCTCAACCAGGCCTGGAAATGAGTTTCCAGCTGGAGAAAACCAGATACAATTTCTGCTGAATAGGACCCCAATGAGATGTCCCTTAAGATGCCAACTTTAGAATGTGGCTTTTCATTGAATAATAGTACTACTTTGCCACACAGATAAGGTCAAAGATATTCACCAAAAACTAAATATTTGAGAGTCGGGGAGACTTGGAAAAAAAATCTTGGTTTGTGGCTAAAAATTTTAATACTGATCTGAGATCAGTATTAGGGGAAAAAAGTTCTGTATTTCATTTTTCGAATGTTTACTTCTGATTGTGTGTGGTGTTCATAGGGGTCTAATTCATAGTTTAATCTTTGGCTCCTTCCACTTGCCATCAGCCAAGAGCTCAGTGCTTGCACGGCTGTGCTTATGTCTGTAGTAAGTTCACTGTGTTCAATACTCGAATGTATTTAAAATACAACACAGTGAATTGGAAGCATGAAATAAGCAGAGCAAAGCAATATGGTCTGAAAGGGTAATTAAGAAAACACTGGCAGTTAGCAAAAGAAAAGTATCTTATCTCGATTTCATAAACCAATGTCTTTATAGGAATGAACTCAAACTTGAATGTAAACATGGATATGAGCAGTATTAAGGAGCCGCAATCACGACTGAGGAAATGGACAACGGTGGACAGCATTTCTGTTAACACCTCATTGGATCAAAACTCCAGCAAACATGGTACGTTAAACACATTGTTAGTGAGAACACTAAGGTTACATACGCATCAGACAGAACTTTTCACGGTCTCTGTGCATATGAAACTTCCATTCCCGGTGTATTGGAGTATACTGGGGTCCCACTGCTAAAGTTGCATGTAGTTCTGTTCTGTGAGAATTTCTATTAGTCTGTCCTAAAATCTTGTTTTAGACTAAAACTTGCTGTGTATCTTCAGCACCAGCCAGTCTTTTGATGTGTGACTTTTGATGTGTGGAAGGATAACTTTTTTAAAACTTCATTGAAACTGGAAAAAGGCCTGTTTTTAAAGTGTGGCCATGAATACTAGTCCCTACCTTAATCTGGATTGGAACACTTCATTTTTTATTTTAAAACAAAATCTTGCATTTCTTCAGCCTCAAAAAAATTTGAAACTCATCCCAGTGTGTTAATCTAATCATATTTTACAATAGGATTAACTCCACAAATGTATGCTTTGTCTTTGTGCTTCACCTTCTGTTTAGGTTTGGATTGAGAATGTGTATGTACATATAAATGCACAGTGTTTGTAAAGGGTAGAAAAATAGGCTTACTATAGCCCGTGTTAGAATAAGCAAACAAACAAATCTACGACATAAATCAATGCTGTGATTCTGTAGTCAGGACTCAATTGGCATTTTAACAATGTTTAAATCACCTGAAATCTCATCTGATTGAAACTTGACATACAGTCTCTAGATGAATACTTATAAAATGCCTCACATGGTCTCTCATTGCAATTCAGTTCTGGGGCTGCATTAGTTGTATTTTTAGATTTGTCAGCTGCTTTAACACTATGAAAAGTCCTCACTGCCCTGAACATCTAGTGGCATTATCCTGGTACTGCACCTGTTTGTTTTGAAAGCTAATCATTATCCATAGGTGCCTGTAGATGTGATGTGCTGCTCTTACCTTAGTTTGTTCAGAAACAAGAGTTACCTCAATGTTAGAAACTTGATGGTTCTGACCCTGCTGTGGCCTATAGAAGATGCATATATCCAGGGAAGTTATCACTACTTCAGAAATAACTTTGTGATGACAATTGTATCTGTTTGCTGATAGTGACAGTGACATAACTTAAGGTTTATTGAGGTCTACAACCAGTGCTTCCTGGAGTTTCCCCACCCTTGTGAGCATTATCAAAAAGTGGATTAACGTTCTAGTTGCCCTGTCAGTTCTGTCATTGTTTTGTGCCAGATGCTGTTAGCCAACAGGTTTATGTAAAAAGCTAAAATCCACAAAACACCTTTGTCAATGAATTTACAACGTAATTAGCACAGGCTTTTGGAGGCTGAGTATGCAGAGGTACTCTTTGCACTTTGCAAATGGATCAAGGAGGGTTCTTCTCTTTTAGACCATAGACTTATTCATGAATTTACCTGCAGGATTTGAATTCTTCTTAGATTTGACCCTGCCACATATTTTGAATACAGAGTACTACTAAGCTAATTGCTCTACATTGCTACTAACCTACTTTGTAATTAATTATTTGCATTTGTTATTTACAGGGCTTGTATTAGTAATAAGTATATGTAAGGAACCATGTTACCTCCGATACACACTATTAGAATTCATTCCAGAAAGATTTTCATTTTGGGAATGAAGCACACAGTAACCTAGAAAATCTGATTCTCCTATTTCATTTGAAAAATTCATATTCATTTACAAACTTCAGATTTTCTGGTAGATGTTGCTTCCTTTTGTCATGTGGGTGTTATGTTTTATTTAGTGTGGTGGTGAATAATAATTCCTTTGTGCCAGTTAATGGGGCAGTTCATGAGCCCTTCAACAGTGGAAAAGAGGGGAAACCTACAGAGTCTCCACTGAGAGCCATGGTTTTAACAGCCACTTCACTTCCACACTGGAATGCTGAAGACCTTGGCATGTCCATGTCTTACTTTTTGTCGATAAGAGCTACAAACAGATAAAACACCAGGAGTTTGAGATTATTGATCTGATTATTAATGGCAAGCTTCTTGTGACCTGGAAAATCACCCAGAAGCACATTTTTAATAGGGAAAAAACTTGCAGATGTTCCACTTCCACTGCTCAGGCTTAAATATGCTGTGCCCACGGCAAGTCTGAAATTACACAATCAGGAGCTAAAATCTGACCCAGTAAACCTTTTCAGCTGTGTGTTTGATATGAATATGCCACATGTGCAGGGGATGAGCTTTATGGTTCTGTGAGGTTAGTTGAGAAGAATATTTAATAATCCTGTTTTCTTTAATAGGTGCTATTTCAAGTGGTTTTAGGCTGGAAGATTCCCCATTTGTTCCATATGACTTTATGAACAGCAGTAATTCACCAGCCAGTCCTCCTGGATCTGTTGGGGATGGCTGGCCACGTGCCAAATCGCCTAATGGCTCTAGCAGTGTTAACTGGCCACCAGGTAAAATTTGGCATTAGTTAACTCATTGTATGCTATATATCTATTCAGTCGTGTTTCTTCTGCATTTGTCAGGCATTAGAAGTAAAAATCGTTGTGGCCATGCGTTTAATGGGATCTTATTGGGTCTGTCTTGTTAATGACTTTGTCATATATGGAACTTCCCCATGCTTCGAAATTTTGCCCTGGCGACACATGTGTAAAAAAAGTAGGAGTGAGGGAATTAAATTGAGAGAGAATAAATTAGAAGCTTAGATATGTTGGCATGTAGGTCAGGAGTAAGATTTTATAGGGCTTAGACAGGAATTTCCTGTAAAAGGAAATAAGCCAACTTCATGTCTCTACGCTTCTTTATTCCTAGAATTTCGTCCTGGTGAGCCATGGAAAGGTTATCCAAACATCGACCCTGAAACTGACCCTTACGTCACTCCTGGCAGTGTCATAAACAATCTTTCAATTAATACTGTGCGGGAAGTTGACCACCTCAGGGACAGGAACAGTGGTATGTATAAGTGGATCACAATCCAGCTACCTGGAGAGACGATTTTGTTGAAGGATGAGGATTGCCACGTTCCCAGATTCTCATTTAACATTTGTGACAGTACAGGTTTTTAGTACAGTCAGTGGCAGTACAGGTTTCGTGGCTAGAAGACTATCCTAAGGATGCAGCAGAGTTTCTGGGTGCAGGGTAACAATATTACTCGTGGGGGGATTCTGCAGGACTGCACGCCCACAGAAAACGCCCCGCCCACTGCAGATTTCCTGCATTTCCCTGCAGAAAACAGCGGGAAGCAAAAGGAAGCCGCTGGTTGGGGGCGACCTTGGGCGCAGTTTTGGGGGGGATTGCCCCCTCCAAACAGGCGAGGCATGTGGGGCACACAGAGTTACATGCCACTGCCCCCTCATTCTGCCAGCGCAGAGCTGCCCAGCTGAAGGAGGCTGTCTCGCAGCTCTGCTGATTCTGCAGCTGAACGCTGCCTCCTGGGTCCTAGTGCCAGTTGGGCTCCCCTTCTGTGTGCTGGGAGCCTTCCTGTTTTCTATTCTGTGCAACAGTAAGTGCCCGTGGTGTGGGTGGGGGAAATGAGGGAAGGTTGGTCCTGCTTTGAGCAGGAGGTGGGACTAGATGACCTCCTGAGGTCTCTTCCAACCCTGATATTCTATGATTCTATGAAGTGGGGGGGAGCGGGTGAAGTGAGGAAGAAACAGTGGGGAAGGAAGGGGGTGTGGAATAGGGCAGGGGGAGGGGAATGTGGGAGTGAGGTTAGGGGGATGGAGAAGGAAAGGGAATAGGGGAATTGCGGGGGGAAGCGGGAGCCTAGCATGCGGCGTCCCCTCAGCTGCATCTGGGGCTCCCCTGTTAAGCAGGTCCATCAAACCCTCACCTTGACAAGCCCTACTCCCCTACACCTGGACCCCTCCAATGAGCCCCCCAGACCCCCACCCCACTGATCCCCAACCATCTGCATTTGGATCCCCACCACATCAAGCCCCACTCCCCCAGCACCTGGACCACCCCACTGAGCCCCCCCTTCTGAGCCCCATCTCTCCACACCCAGACCCCCCTCCTGAGCCCCAACCACCTTCACCTGGATCCCCTGCAGAGTCCCGTTGTCCCTGCACCCGGAACACCCGCAACAAGCCTCTGTGCATCCAGATCTCCCACTGAGCCACCCGCACCTAGATTGCCCCACACAGCAACCTCTCGCCCCACACCTGGATCCCCCCATGCTTGGATCCTCCTGAGTTGAGCCTGCACCTGGCACACAGGGACAGGGCCCCGGGGTGTTTCTGGAGCAGGCTCAGCCCTTGCACTGTCAGGGTCAGGTGCAGCCTCACTGCTGAGTCTCTGTACCGGGCTATGTGGGGGCTTCAGGGTGCTCTCCCACCTCAATGCAGCCAGTGCTCCCCACTGCCATGCTGGAGCCACATTTATTTATTGACAAATAAAATGTGCAGAACTTTAAAATATTGTGTGCAGAATTTTTAATTTTGTGGCGCAGAACTTTAATTTTTTTGGTGCAGAATTCCCCCGGGAGAACAATATGCAGAGAATGCTAGCAAGTAATTATACATGCTAATATACATGTTATTAGCCCTTTCTGGAGCCCTGAGAAGCAATTGAACATGCGGGGAAGCAAAACCTGGCAGCATTGCAATCACAAGGCTATATCAAGCTGTGGTTATAGTAGTTGAACTATGTTTTCTGGTTACAGTAACTTCTA